TTCAATCTTCATATAATTAATTATCTCCAGTTTGTTTCCGAAAAGTCTGACTTCGAACAAAACACCAATGTCAGACATTAATATGTCCAGTTTATCTTGATTTAAATTTAATTCAATTCCCAAATTACCTATATAAATTATTATACTTCCATATTAGAGGATAATTCCTCAACAGGGGTTAAATATTTTCCAGTGTTATCCACGTTAAATTTATAATTTTTACCACTCCCTAAGAGCATTTAAGCATAAAAAAATGAACGTCTATTATTAAATATTATGTTTAGAAGAAAAACATTCAAATAATTTAATTGCTTATTTTTCTCAATCCCAGGCACAATATATAAATTTAACAATTATAAATATCAATCATACAAACTTTGTCAATAAAATAGACAATAAATTCAATGCTTTCTATATTGTTTATAATTCTGAATAGAGAGAAAAAAAATTATATTAAAATAAATTGAATTTAAAAACCATCTCACGTTAAAAATAAATAATATTATTAACTATTGAATAATATCAGTAAATGGAAATATGATCAAATATAAATACTAATATCATTGTAATAACCATATAATTATATTTTAAATTACCCGCAATATGAGCATGAATATAAATTTAGAAGCACTAAATTTTTAAATTTTGAACTTTATAGAAAATTTCAATCGAGAGTAAATGCAATTTCAGAAATAGAACAAAGCACATAATAGTAGAATGAAATAATTAAAATCAATTCAATCTCTTCTTACCCAAACACATTCTGAAATAAAACAACTTGTAACAGTTATTTGTTTTTAATCTTTGAAAATTTAGGTCACAATTCATGAAATACACAATCCTTGTAAAATCGAAACTTATGTAAACACACTTAGAGTTTTAATTATTTCTTTCAAATTAAAAGAGAAAAAAAATTTCACATCCGCAATAGTATAGATAAAACGTTATTATTACGGATGATAAATTCGTATTCCTTAAATTGCTTTCTTTTGAAAAACCTTTTTTACAATTGAGGAAAGAAGGTGGAATCCCTATCATCACACACATTTGTTGGAAAACATTGACCCATTTTCCTTTTTTTCCCTTTTTCTTCCTTTTTTTCTTTTATCCAGGATGCCTTTTGTAGTAGGTTTGAGTAATCTAACTCTTTATGAACTTACATTTTTAATACTTTTAATTCTGTCTCTGCTATGAGATATTCTTTTCACATTTTTTTTGTCTCAATTTTTATCAGGATGTTTCAGCATTGAGCAATTAATTATTAAAATCTCAGAAGGACATCTGAAATCATACTTTTGTTTTACTCACAGTCTAGAAATTACATCTAGTCTAGAAATTACATGTTTGTCTTGATGGTTAGGCATATTTTTGAAATTCACTTAAACTGGAAACAGTAGCATTTTTCACACGTACTCATTCAGGATCGGATCGGGAAAAATAAAGCAGATAAGTCAATCAAAAAACGAAAGTTTTTATTTTATTATCATAATATAAAGAAGTCGAAGTGCTTTACTATAAAATGTCAGGGAAAATCTTGCAAACTTATCTTAATGATTCTTAAGTGAAAATGATTATAACTCAATCAGAAAATATCTCCGGTTCTCACGCATGGTTAAAGGAAAAACATAAAATGTTAATTCTAGCATTCTTTAATCTAAATTTAGAACCGGATGAGAATAATAAATGTGAGAACGCGACTCGTTTTGAATAATAAATTAAGAAAAAGATTTCGATAAAGAAATAACAAAAAAAGATTTGTTAAAGCAGATGATTTTTTTATTTTATTTTATAACCGTTGTTGAACAGCGGGCCCAGTGTTTGGGCTAACTACTGATGTCCAACTCCGTAGCCTTGTAATTTTGAACTCATTTTAGAAGACAAGGGAACTCCTGCATCAAGTATTGGGAGAAATTTGCCTTCGTGGAGGACTTTTTGATGAAACTAACCCGCATTCACGTCACATGGAGAGGAAAACCACGGAAACTTCCCACGGTTAGCCTAACGACAAGAGGACTTTAACCCATGATTCATCTACCACTGAGGATATTTTACGTCAGCAAATGCGGTTGGAGCAAGCCGGTTGTGGAATTCGACCAGCCATTGCTGGGATTCGAACCCGGTTCACCTAATTGGAAGGCTCTATTCCCTGAGGCTCAAAGCTAATGATTTGTTAGAGCTGAATGAGGTACGCTCATATTTGTATCAATTGGTCTCTGTATATAATAATGATGAAATAACGCACATTATTGAAAAAACCGCCACATCGGATGTCTTCCCTTTCAACATTTAGAGTGGCGAAAGTAAATTTGCGTCCATTGAAAAGTATTGAAGAGACGGTAGTGAAGCAACGGTAGTTGGAAATGAAGTGCTTGTAAATGATGCGTATTTATCGAAAACTGTGTATGCGCACTCGTGTACCTCTAAAAAGGAGCGTCACTATTTTGAAGGCGGCGCTTTATTTTTGTGCCTCTCAGTCGATAAAAACATTTTTGTACCTTTTATTTCTATGGTGTCTTCTGTATTCAAGAGGTACATAAGCTATGCAACTCTTATATGAAGAAACTAAATGGTAAAATGTGTTTGTGCTTTTAATTTAAATTGTGCTCTTTTTAAGTGTCTTTAGCAATTTCTTAAAACGTAATGAAATAAAACAAAATTGAAAAAAGTGGACATGTTGAGATGATAGTATATAATTTTTTTTTTCAGAATAGTATTAAAATTTTTTACTTATGTAACAAACAAAGTTATGAAACATTTTTCAAAACTGAATTAACTGTGGCAAACCAAACTTTAAAGTATTGTTCATACAACGATACATAAAGTTCCATCACTATAGAATAGTTCGCAATAATATTGTACACTTTAAGAAATAATGGTGTTTTTTTGATGTTGAGGCAAACTTTAATTTTTTTACATTGCATGCAGTCACATTTCTGTTATACTTTTTCAAGGTTATAGTTTTATTTATTAATTATTTTTTGTTTGTTTATTTAAAATATATTTTGATGCGATTCAATTTAGTGACTTCATAGCAAAAACATTTCGTTTAAAAATGTCATATTTTTAGTAGCATATTGTCACTCATTTTTGAAAACAATCGTAATTATGTCAATTTTATATTATTTTTTCCACAATTATTTCAATTGCTGCAACACCAAACCTTTTTACTGTGCATATAATCTTGTTAAAAGAGGAGACAAAAAATAGATTCTATTAACAAGAATCACAGTAATTATAAAGAATTTGATTCGAAGGAACATAAAATTTTTTTAAACTTATAGAATAGAAAGAACTTTAAAAATACACACTTTAAAAGCTAGCTTGATACACTTGTTGGCAGTTTGTCAGATCGGGACACTTTTGGTGTAAGTTGTACAATGTAAAAAATTTCGGATCAAATCAGAATAAAAAATACTCATGGTGCCGGTACTTTTTACCCTTAAAACCATTTTTTTTTACTGTAAGCTTTTACGGAACAAAAATCTAATATACCGTAATTTTTACAGTAATATATATATAGTAAAATCACTGTAATTTAATTAGTATTACTGTAAAAATTACGATGTAAAGTTTTACGGTAAAAAGGAAATTTACTATAAAAAGTAATTTTGGATAATTCACCTAGGATGCTAGTACTTTTAACCGGAATTTTTCAGTGTATTTTAAGTACCTTATGGGCAAGGAAATGAAAATTTTTTCTTTCATTTACTAAGAACTTAAATTTACAGTGTAATAGAAAATGTTCCATTCATATAGAACTATTACTTTTTTAATAGCTAATAATATTTATTTTTAGTTAAAAAGTTCTAAAAAAAAAGTTTTAGAAAAATTCTAAAAAAAAAAAGGCTCTGAACTTTGAGAGAAAAGTGCAATGTTTCTCTTTAGAAATAACGGAGCTCTTCTTTCTAAACCAGTAACGAGATTACAAAAGATGATATTTGAGTACAACTTAAATGAATAAGATCTTTCAGAAAGTATTATATCCAAATATTACATAAGAAGCATGTTTTTGACAATGGACTCGCCAATTGTCAGTAAAAATAAACAAATCGCAAATACTTTCGGAAAAAAGTCGCAACTCCTACCTTTTTTTTTTTTTTTTTTTTTTTTTTTTTTTTTTTTTTTTTTTTTTTTTTTTTNTTTTTTTTTTTTTTTTTTTTTTTTTTTTGCTTTAACATTCTCTGTTGTAATCTAATATTAAGAATTTAAGGATTGACGTAAAAAACAATAATAAAAGATGAAGTAAATAATAATAATAATAATAAAGAAGATAATAAAGCAAAATTTACGTTATAATTCATGTTATGAAATTTTAAAACTTTTTTTCCTAAATTTCTCTATTTCCAAATTTAACTTTTACTTCAAATTTTACTTTTTTCCTCGTGTAGTTTTATCAAATTTCTTAGCAACGTTTTTTTTTTGCAAAAATAAGTAAATAAATAAATAAATAAACAGGGTATAAGAATTGCTGATACCCTGCTCTCTATTGTCAGCAAACCTAAACCACCTTTCCCCTTTACAGCCTGCTTGAATGGCCACTAATTATTATTTATTAACATTAATATTCACTATATAAACTTAATAATTAACTTAAATACAATAGTATTGTTTTTATGACTCCTATTGAACTATTGAATATGCAAAAGGCACAAGTCTTAATATTAAAATAATAAATAAAAAAAATTGCGAAAAACTTTTCTAACTCTGACTTTTTTTTTGCTCTAAAATTTACTTACTTCATTCATTTTTCTTAAAGCACTCTGGGATTAATATATAAAAAACAATCTTTAGTGAAAAAAAAATAGTTTAACACTGCTAATTATCCTTATGTGAAGGGAAGTATTGAAACAATTTTTCATTAATTGAATCTTTCGCTAAAAAACTTGTCAGCACATGTCGTGTCTGTATTTGATCAAAAACGAAAAAACCTTTTTTTTTATCTTCAACTTTACAATGTAAAGGGCAGCTTTTAAAGCGAACTATTGAATAAAGTTGAGTACCTGTACTCTTGCTTCTGTTAAATCTGTCCTAAGAGCAATTTCTTCTCTTGTGTAGATATCTGGATAATGTGTTTCTTGGAAGGCTTTTTCTAACTCTTTTAATTGAGCACTTGTAAATGTGGTTCGAATCCTACGTTGTTTTCTTTTTTCTGTTAAAACTCCTTCATGATATACTTTGTATGGTGGAAGGCTGGCAGCTGAAATATAAGAGACTGCTAATATTTAAAAATATTCATAAGTTTTCAAATAATTTATCAAAGAAATCTAAATTCAGTTCACTGTGAAAATTTTTAATGTGTCTCATTAGTGGCAACTACTTTACACCTAAGTGGTGTACTCTAGATGTTTCACTACACCAAAAATTTTACTTTACACTATTTGGTGTAAAGAAGCCATTTATGCTATTCAATAACACTGGAATTTATAATTACAATAAGATAAGATACGAGTCAGTAAAGTTATTCTAACAATACAATATAAAACGTTAATTTAGGATACACATTGCACAAAGAGAAAATAAACAAGGCTTGACAAAACTGAAGAAGAAAGAAATTAAATATTCTAAAATTATTTTATAGAATTGACAGATTTATTTAAATATTTTTATTAATCTTCTTTTTAAATTACATTTTTTTTAAAAATAATTTTAATCTATTTTGAATGGTTTAACATACATATTGCTTCAAAAAATTGTTATTTCTTTTGAAAGCGCTAATTAAAAAGCACTTTTTTATTAAAAACAGCCCACTTTGTTTTCATCTGAAACAGGAAGTCACGTGATTTTTGATTAATATGTCATGCAAGGGAAGAAATACTGTGTAGTGAGCAGTATTTCTACCTATGTGCGCAAATGCAAAGAAAACAACACGTTATTTAGCATTTTTTGATGTGCCGACAAAAGATGCTGTAAGAAAGAAAAGATACCTCGTTATGAAGCAGGATGATAAAAAATAATAATAAATAAATAAATAAAAATTTAAAAAAAAATGAAAACCTGTTTTATCTACAACAATTGTTCGAAATGCTTGAAAGACCACTTTCATGCAAGTATATGTATTTCTATATATATTTTACTTTTCTTAAGGTATAAAGTGTAATAAATTTCTATGATAGTCATCTGTTGTTAGCTGGATTTTCTTAGCTCTGAATATTTAATGAAGAGTATGTAAAAATGAGTTATGAATGTCTGATGTTACCTATTCGTATGATTTATACACACAAAATAAATTTACTCTTTCATTTTTATGTTTAGTTTTATAATAGATTAGGAGGATATTTTAGGTTTATTCAAAAGTTTCTTTTTATTTATTAATAAGATAAAAGTTATATTTGATTTTTTTTATATGTTCTTCCAAAATAATTCCCTGCCTTTTCTTAACAATTTATTACATTTCTCATTAACGCATTTAAAAAAATTTTAAATTTATTTATCTTTGGTTTTCCTGATACAAATACATTTGGTTAATTATTTCTAATGTGTCCTGAAAATTTTTATCTATTTTTTTTACTTTATTCTTCTTTACTTAAAATAAATTTTTATTGCTTAAAAATAGGAATTTGCCTAAAAATATTATATCTATATGCACATTAGATAGATTTATTTTTGTATAGTACTAAGTCTTAAGTAATTTAGTTTATAAACACGCATTTTAATAATTATAATATATTGTATACTTAAGAAAAGTTGTTATGGTTTTTTTATGGAATCTTTAGCTATGTTATAAACATAATAATCTCTGTATACGAATTTTCTACATAATTTTAATAATAAATATTTTTAGGTTTCAAGAATGCCATAAACTAAAGTTGCTGCTTATTGTTTTAATTTATTTCTTCTTGAATATCATTTATTTCATACTGAAATTTATCTTCAGCATAAATTTCAAGAAGCAAGCCTTAGATTGAAAAAATAAATTGTGTCTCACTTATTTACATCTCATATAGACAAAACTTTTGCATCAGTATCGTCAACGCTTTCTAAAAAAACTGCTTATAGGCAACGAAAACGAAATGGTGGGAGACCTATTGAAAAAGTTTGAACTCTCGACTGCACATGCTAATTTAGATATAAATAATTCAAATCCAGCTAGAGATTCGACTAGTAAAGCGAAGTTAGTAACAGCAGAAAGCATAGCTAGTTATTAACTTGCCAAGTAAAATTGACAGCTGCTTATCGAAGCAAGGCTACAAATACATTTAGTGTTGTAACTTCTAACTTAGGCCTAACCAGAAATGCAAAACATAGCTTGTGGCGGAAAGGGATAGAATCTGATATATATTTAGTGATATAGCAAAAAACAGTTGCCATTGACTATGTATACACCAGGATAAGACAATGATCAAGAGAAAAGAGAGCACTCATGATAAAATCAATATAAAAAATCATTAATGTGGAATTTAAAGTAAGGAAAAATTCCTCATTGAACTTATGTTTATCTATTCTAAATGTTCTGATGGTACTAAAAAAAGACAAAATGAAACTTACAAACATCTGGATATGTTATAGGGGATGTCCACAAGCAACATGTCCCGAATTTTTAAGGAAACTTTATCTCCTCTTGAAGTGTTCTCCAGAATTTTATTGTTTGGTCCACTGATTCTAATAGAATCAAACTGTACCTGCCAGTAGGAATCATTATTGTTTTGAAATTCCAATTGAAAAACTTTCAAATGCATTTCATCAATGTATGACTTGGTCCGACAACTACAAGACCAATACTGTAAATTCTCTTGGTGTATTTTGATAAAACGGTGCGTTTTATGTCCAGGGGTTATGGCGGATCCAACCATTGTGGATATTTAAAGATGTTCTCTCACATGGCAGATCGAGGCTTTAAAAATATCGAATATTTTTTTACATTGACACTCATATATCCTCTCTCACCAATGGCTGCAGATAAAGTGAAATTCACAAAGTTGCAGTCAAAGAAAAAGTGATAAATAAACTGAGAAATTTTGATATTTTATCCTAACGTATACTTACTTTAATCACAACTTGGCACAGTTATTTGATCAAATTTTTATAACGGTTTGTGGCATTATTAATAGTAAAATGAAATAATGCGAAAATATACTTTTTTCTAAGTTTTTGAGACTTATTAATTGTTTTAAGAATAATATCGATAACAATATTTACTATTCACTACTTTACATGATGCTTATATATTCAGTACTTTATTAACTTCAAAGTAAAACTTTTCTCTCATGTTTTGACATTTAAATAGATATTGTTTCAAATATATTGTTTTTTTTTTCCAAATTCATTTTGTCTAAAAATGTGTAAATTTTGATTAAAAAAATTAAAAACATTATTTTTGAAATAAAGTGAACATAACAAATATAAAATAGTGTCATTGACAAGCTCTTCGATTGAACAGTCAAGAGTAGCCATTGTTTTTTTTGTTTTTTTTTTTCGAATGGCAGACACTGAACTTAGAAGATGCCCACGCCACACTGCCACAAACCCGTTCATAGGGTGGGCCACATTCACTCATCACACACAACAGAGGACAACACAAGAGAGAGAAACATCCGTGCCCAGAGCGGGATTCAAACCCGCGGCCATTGGCTTCGCAGTCAGGTACGCTAACCCCGTGGCCACCTAGCCGGCGAGTAGCCATTGTAATTAATTTTGAAAACTCTTTGTAATGAGAATTCTAGGTGGTTATCTTAGGTTACTATTGCATATAGTAAGATATATTTTAGTATTAAATAGTTAATATTTTATAATTTTTATAACAAATATCAAAAAAAAAAAATTTTTTTTTTTTAGTTAGAAATAAATTCTTTTAATAAAAATGCCTATTCTATGTAGTCAGCGTGTATGAAATGGATTTCCAAGCTTATGTCGATTCGGATTAAATGTTAAATTTTCTAAATCCTTGGTTTTACATTCATGAAAATATCATATTAATGTACATGAGTGTCTTGTTTTAATTAATCTCTCTATTTTGGAAAGTTTCATGCTATATATATATGTTTTTTTTCTTTAAATCTTTGTTTCGATCCAAAGTTAAATACAAAATTTCTTTCTCACTTTTGCTCATTAACCTGGATTTACATTCGTAATTATTTCACATTAATGCATGCGAGTATCTTGTTGTAATTAATCATTTCATTTTCAAAATTTATTTTAAGATATGTTTTTAAGTACATTGTTTTTATTAAAAGAATTCGTAAAATATTATGTTTACATTATTTATTTTATTTAATGTCAATATCTAACATAAATAGCATTTTATAATATTATGTTCTGTATTTACAGCGGATTGTCCGCATCATAATACCAATACAGAAAACCGAGTGCTATTTTATAAACAATATGTTCACAACTTCTAATAGTGCCTTTTAAATATAAGTTTAAGCATATGAAGATAAGAATTATATATCTTTTTATTAGTGACTCAACAAATAACAAAAATAGCATATAATTTTCAATTATTTTTAATTTAATTACGTTGTGTAAGTAAAATCTATAGAGATTTGTTACATTTCTATAGCTTTATTTGAAAGAAACTGGTGTTAGCAAAGTTTTATAGAAGAGAATAAAGTAGCACAATTTTAAAATCACACACTTTTGTTCAAATATGAAAAAAGTTGGCTTTTATTGACAAATATTATTTAGTGGTAACTAAAAGAAATAGACCTATAAATTTTAATTAAAAAAATCTTGTTACCAGAAAATGGATCGAAATGTTTCAACGCATAAAATTGACTATTTGATCTGCGAAGTGGAGAAATAATGATCTCAGCCGTAAAATTACAAACTCGCTTACCAAATATATAAGTTTTCCTATTACACTGTAAAATAAAATTTATGTAAACCATTAGAAAATATTTATTTAAAGTATTTAATTGACACATACTAATTTATAATATTCCAAAAAAAATGTCATTTAGGAAAATTGCCAATTTATTCAATTTAGGAAAATAGAAATAAAGGACCCTTTACATTAAATTTTGACTGTGTTTATCCCTTTTTCTGCCCGTAATTCAATGATTTCTCCATTACTTTTAAAGTTAGGATGAACCACCGAAAATAATCCGTTTGTGAACATTTGCATTGCATTATGTTTTTCAGTTGTCACAAAATCCATAGTTGTTTGACGATAATGAGCACTTGACATCAGCACTATAGCCTATGGTAACACTATCTGATGATGTATTAAAGATCAGATATTCTGAATTTATTTATTTTGATGCGGTGATTCTT